TTTGAGCTCTCCTTCTGGAAGGTATGACTTCCAGTTTAAATACCTTCCAAGGCTTATTTCACATGGTCTTCCAAGAATACACCTTATTACTGTTACAGGTGCACAAATGAATTTTAACTCTTTTCTTCTGGGCATCTCATGTAGGAAACAGATCCACTTTACTGTGTTGGTACACAGGGACATGACAAAAGGCATCACTTAAATTCTAAATGTCTTCACAGTTTATGCAAAATCTAATCCCCAGATAAAAAATCTTGCTCTAAGAAGTTTTCTTCATTCTCAGCTTTGATTACACTCATAGGGATCAATTTACCTGAATCAGACCTGGCAAAATCTGCACTAAGACTTCCAGAATCCAAGCAATGCTGTAACAAATCCCAGACTACTAGGCCACACCAAAGGCCAAATGTTATTTGAGTTACTCCTCAGCGAGGCTGATCAAATCAGTTGAGAGCAACGAGAATGAGCTTTTGACCTACATTTTACCTTTGCAATTTAAAACCAAACTTTACTTACCAGCTTTGCCAAGCTCAAGTTCTTTGTGTCTGATATTCTGGATAATTACATCCTTCTGAATGCCTCTCAAACAAATGGCTCCCTTCTATTTGTCAGTAACACCAACTATTTAGAAAATGTTCTAAGATTATATAAGAATACACAATTATAATAACAGGTGTCTACTGCCATAGAAGCACTGTTAAAATAAATAAATTAAAAAATAAGTAAAAGAGACATTTCCTCATTAAGAATAAACAACTCAACTACACCTTATTTTACTGCAGATTCAACTAGTTATAAGTTATAACAATGCAGTTCTTTATGTTTGGATAAATTAGACACTTTTCACCTTCTCTCCCTGTCTTCCTAAAACATCTGATCTGTTTCTCCACAAGTGGTTAATGATATCTGGCTGATAAATGATGCATCATGATAAATCTGATGCTGATTCTTTGAACTCCCTGTAAGCAGAAAAATGATCAGCACTTCAAGTGTCAACTTGATAATCCAGAAAACAAACAGTAAAACCTGTTCATCACCCTCTTTGCCCTATATTTACCCAAGGCACATTTTTAAACACAGCCTTCTTCTGGGAGCACCTTTTCAAACTAGCTAGCAAGGTGCATAGTTCACTCACCATGCACAAAAAAAATATCTAAGCAATAAAACCTTTGAAATTCTAAATGCCTAAGTTTTCAATCAGAAGTCTTACACTTTCTTGGAGCTTTTAACATGCTGTTTTTAATGCCATCCTGAGAATTTTCTATCTCTTTTCAATGAAGTGTATTAAGACATAAAATAATTTTTCCTCTCTTATTGGAGAATGGGCTTTCACTTAATAATCAATTGAAACTCATTCATTAATGAGAAATATATAATTAAATTGAAAGCTGTATGTCACAATGATTAACATGAATAACAGGGACACCAATAGAATGAGGATAAGCCCTTTAAGCCTTCAATTATTATACTTTTTCATACAAGAAGTGCCACAGCCTATTAGCAGTATAACAGATGCCTTCATGACAAATTCAGATAAAAACTGTGAATAGAAATAAACTCAGAAAACTATAGCTCTGATTTTGGCACAGGTGAAGGGGGATTTAAAATGTCTTATTCAGCTGTGATACAGGAAGTGAAAAATAGAGGCCTAACGTAATGGTTCCTTTAAGGAGAGGTCACTCATTCTTTCATATTAATACTTTTCACTCAGTATCCCATTTAACTGGTATGGGCAGCTCATATATTTGCAGTTCTTTTGGAAATTAGGAGATTAGACATTGAGTTCTCTTCTGTAATTGTTTCATTGGTGCTTCTGCTTATCACCTTGGAAGTGTTTCTTTCCGTCAAACAGCAGAGTCACAGTGCTTGAATGAATCAGGACAGCAAAACAGCTGTGACTGCACTAATGCAAAGGTATTTATGGAAACAAAATGTACAGTAAAAACATGCATTTGTTTTCCAAGCAGGGCTTATTAATTGGTGGCATTCTTTTAATACAATTATTTATGATGTGCAGTATAATTTAAATTTAGTTTAGCTGTAGTCTCAACAAGGAGTCAATTAGGACAGTTTGAAGTGAGGGTAAATGTGATTCTTGGCAAGAGAAAGGATTTTTTATTTTCTTTTTTTAAAGGACTGATACAAGCAGAAAGGCTCCAACTCACCACTGTGTGGTCTGTCTCATTGTCCTTGCCTTTATTTGTAACTCCTGTTTCTAGGGCTTTCATTTCTTTTGCCTGTGCCTTACCAACCAGTTGTTACATTCTTTTTCTTCCCTGTTTCTTTTCCTCCTACAAACAAGGCTGATATTTATCTTTTTGTGGTTTCCTGCACACCCTTACAATGTACCAAATATACTAAACAACTAAGCAAATTAAAAAGTTTTGAGCCATTCACATGCACTTATACCTAACCACACTGTCGGTTTTTCTTTGTCATCTTTCCCAGAAATGACATTTTAAATATTCACTTCAATTTGCATTACATTTCAGATCAGAAGGCACTGTCATACCATTTGTAGCAACAGTCACCCTGGCAAATTTAAATCAAATTAGGTGTTCCTTTCTCCAGAAGAACTGATATCAAGCTGTCCTAAGCTTCTTCAATGGCACAACATGGATCCCATAGCCTGTACAGGAATTGTGCTCAGGTAATCTCAGTAGGAAATCAGGCCTGCTGCTTTCTGCAAATTAAGCTGAACGTCTGCTTCACCTAAAACCATATATTATGATCAGATTTAAATGTATGATCAGAGATATCAGGCAGAAATATAAGAAAAATATTATCTGATCAGTAAAGACAACAGTCCCACTTATCTAACATTCCTCTTCAGTTTACAATTGCCTGTGGACTGGGGAAAAAAAGTCCTGATGCTCTAAGAGATCAACAGAAACCTCTAAATGACAAGATCATGCAGAAGGATGGTGATCAACATAAACATACAATATTGTATGAGCATTTGTACCTCTGGAAGTATATTTTAATCTTGCAAGGGAGACTTCTTGGGCAGAAGAGTGTACAAGCAGGTACTGAATACACCAATTACAAAGTGCTGGTAGCTGTAGCTGTGCCAAAGTAAACAGAAGTAAGGAATTTAAGAGTCCATTTAAAGCCAAAAAAGTTCATTCACAGTAAAACAACAGCAGTATCCTTCTAAGTGTCCCTGCCTGTCCAGGGGCTTCAACGTTCTCAATATCTCTTTTCTTACCAAAGTGCCATTTCCAGTAGTGTAGCTTCAGGAAACTGCATCCCACATTAACCACAAACAGCTGTTGTCTCAATTGACAGTAATTGCTACTTGCAAGAATATAGTCATACATCCATTTTCTTACTAATTACTGTATTTTTAGTAATCCCAGTACCAGATTACAATTATTTTTGTTTGTGCTTTTCTTAGGACAATTTATTCTGACAGTAATTGCTACTTGCAAGAATATAGTCATACATCCATTTTCTTACTAATTACTGTATTTTTAGTAATCCCAATACCAGATTACAAATATTTTTTTTTTGCGCTTTTCTTGCATTGTACTTTCCAATTTGCTGAAATGTTAATAATTCATCCTGTTAGCTTTTCTGTCATAAATTCTACATAGTCATGAGTACACCTACTCCTCCCTAGCAGCTTTTAAACTTGTCCAGCAGCTTTAGTCTCACCAAACAAAAGGGAAGCATCTCAAAAAATATTAAGTACTAACACATCATGTGAAAATAAGACTCTGGTAGAGTGCCATAACCAAGTGAAAAGTTCAGATACTCAAGTGCACTGGATACAAATTAACTCATATGAGAGATACCAAGAAGTAAGCATCGCTATTTCTGATGTTCCCAAAACTAGTTGCTTTTACTACTACTGTCTGAACTGATATCCTGTTACTTGACTCAGCATTCAAGTGCAAATGCCATTTAAAAATACTCATTAATGCTCCCCAGTAAGTTACTGTTTCTGGCTAGCTTCATGGCATTACTATCTTTGATTTGAGAGAAGTCTTCCTTCTCCACACGTCCACTTGCAATGCTCTCGAATTTGCAAAATTGTTTGCTTTGACTCAAAACACTGTATTTATGGTCAGGACTCAAAGCTGGGTTTTGCTTTCATCTTTCAGACTTTTAGTGTCATGCCAAACTGGTATTGAACCCAGTCTCAAACTGAATATCGGTACCAAGAGGCACCCAGAACTCCTGCAAATCCCCAGGTTTATTTTATCAGGTCGAATTAGAAGTATTTTTTAAAGCCTCAAAAAGCCTTGGTGGGGAACTCATCCTCTAACTTGAACTTGAAACCCCTGCACTCTTTTGATTGCAAAGGCTCCCTGGAAGGTTTGCCACGCTGTCGTGTAGAATCGGTCACAGAACGGGTCAGGCTGGAAGGGACAGAGCACTTCATCTGGTCCAACCTCCTGCTCAAGCAGGGTCAGCCCAGAGAACACGGCACAGGATTGTGTCCGCATGGCTCTGGAATATCCCCAGTGATGGAGACTCCACAGCCTCTCTGGGCAGTCTGTTCCAGTGCTTGGTCGTCCACACAATAAAGTTCTTCCTCATGTTCAGGTGGAACTCTCTGTGCATCAGTTTCTGCCCAATTTCGCTTGTCCTGTTATTTGGCACCGTCGAAAAGAGCCTAGCTCCGTCCTCTTAGACCGTTAGACATTTATAAACATCAACGATGTGTTCCCACAACCTGGGCATTCAAGTGGATGCGGAGCGCGGTTTAGGGCACAGGGCGGGATGTTTTAGGCGGAGTCGCCGTGTAAATGCCGCCCTCTCGCCTCTCCTGCCCGAGCTCCCCGAGCTCCCCAGCCTCTCCTGCCCGAGCTCCCCGAGCTCCCCGAGCTCCCCAGCCGCCCCCGCCCGCCTCCCTCAGCGCCGGGGCCGCCCCCACTCCCTGGCGGTGCGCGCGCCCGAACCCTCGCGAGAGGCCGCGGCTCGCGCCCGCCTGTGCCACGGGGCCTCGGACGGTCGGGGTCGCGCTGCCGAGGCCTAAGCGCGCTCCCGCTGCACGCAGGGCTCGGGTGGCGGCGGCGGCTCCCGACGCGCTCCCGCTCCGCCCCCTGCGCTGCCCGACGGGAGGTGCGATGGCTTCCCGCAAGAGCTCCAGAGCCACCGGCGGCAGCCCCAGCCCCGGCTCCAAGAGAGGTGAGCGGCGCTGCTGCGAGAGCGAGGCAGGAGCTCTGCGGGGAAGGCGCGGGGGCTCCAGCGGCGGCCGGAGCCGGAGGGAGGGAAGGGCCCTTCCCGGGATGCGGAGCAGCGCCAGGCAAAGCGCTGGGATGCTGCGCCTTCTCCCTGCCCTTCCCTGCCCGCCTGCCGGCCCCTCTGGCTCCTCCCGCGCTGGGGGAGCTGGGGAGGGGGACGCAGGGGTAGGTGGCCGGGATGTGTCCCTCGCCTTCCCGCCGTTCCCTGTCCAGGGAGTTCACGTGGAGGAGAAAGTTGTCGGGCCTGGGACTCCCCTGGAAAGCTCCCTGGGAGGGATGAGATGAGCGCGGGCAGGCCTCAGCATCCGTGGGTACCCCCGAGACCTCTTCCTCCGGGGAAGGATGCCCCAGCCTCAAGTCTTTCATATTCTCATATCCAAACTTGGATGTGGAATATCTCCTCAGACTGACCTGGTTAGGTCAAAATTATTGGATTTGTTGTAGGTGGAGCACCTAAGCTGATGGTTTCTGTAACTATCGAGGCAAGGAGGAAGAGTCTCAGTAAAATGCGAGCAGGAGGCTTTTCTGAGGCAGTGATCCCCCACCCCGCCAATAAAGAACCCCTTGACAAACCTGACTGCTCACAGCCCGCTGTGTGCGGACAGTTTATGTAGGGAAAGTTTTGTGTTCATTGCCATTTCTCAGCATAGCGGTGTGCGCCTGAAAGAGGGGAGAAAAGCCTCTGTACTTGTGGAGTCAGTACGCAGCCATGCGCACTGTGCTGGAGAAAGGAGGGATTTTACCACACACTGAGTGTTTACGTGTCGTAGCTTCTTTGGATTCGAGTTTGGTGGGCACAGAGCTCCAGTGATAAAATGTGATGATGACACGGAAATAATATCTGTTGTTCCTCTTTGATTATAGCAATAATAGTGAGAACAGTGTTTATTAAAGGCTGAACCATACAGGATTAGTTTACCTATCACATGATGAATTAAGAGGGAAAGATTTCAAATAGACTTAGGCTTTGAAGAGTTTAGAAATAATATTGCAATGTTTGTAGAAGTGTTTTTATTTTATTTTAAAATCCTTTATCCAATTCAATTTCAGTGCTGACCTATGCTGTGTAGTCTGTTAATTACAGTTTTTGCTTGGACTGGACATGCTATGATGATCACCCAGTATTAAGCATGCTGAATACCGATTTTCAGTTTTAATGCCTTAAAAGCCTGCATCCCTGTTGTAATTTTGAATACTGAATGTGGTAATTAATATTCTAAACATCACTTTACATGTTTGTCAACATCTGAAAAATAAATTTACTGGTAAACTGGATCTCTGACTAAATAAAGAAAGCATTCCATGGGTTTTTATTTGTAGTCTGAGTAAAATTTTCTCTCTTTATGTTAAAAGATGTCTTTGAGGGGATGTAGCAGTATGGGTAATGTGTTAGGCACTCTACTGACATGGAACCTCTTAAATTTGTTAGTATACAGCACTCCTAGTTAGAATCCCTCAGACAGCCATAGCAATTACAGCGTGAAGCTGATGCTGTTTTCGCAGTTGCAGCTGCAGAGAGGTGAGGGATGGTCGCTCCTGTGTGACTGAAGGAACAGCTGGAGGAGCAGAGGGCTCACAGCAGCCAGTAAGCTCTCCACAGTTAAGGGATGTGAAAGTGAGATGAGGAAATGATTTTCAGACAGCAAGTAATTGAGACTGAGAAGTATGAAAACCTCAAGTCTGAGGCACTTTTTGCCTGATAGAAATACTCACTTTCACAGCAGTTCTTGAGAGAGGATGTGGCTTCTTGCCAAGGCCTTGCTCACAGCTCAAGCCACTGAGGCTAACAGCTTATTTCAAAATCTGTACACTCAAGACAATGCCAGCATCAGTAATCTGCTTTTAGGTTTCTCTATCAGAAAATATTTACAGTAAACTGCAAATAGATAGGTTCTAACTGTAGTTTATATAGGTGTTTTCAGGTACACTGTATTGTCAGAAGTGGAACAAAACATCTTTTAGAAACAGAACTCTAGCTTTTGCTTTCAGAAGTCATATACCATAAGCTGTCGAATCAATCCTAATTTTAAAAAATCACTTTACTTTAGCTTTGTAGTGCTACTTATTCTTTGGAAATTACATTTACAGAATTGTATGACTACACCAATGATTTTATTTAGAGTACAGAAGTGAAAACCAGGGAAAAATTTTACATTTTGGGGATACTTAAAGAGGGAAACATGTTTGTTATTATCTTTACTGGAAAGTTTGGCTGCTTGTTGCTAGCCTGCAGAATTCATAGTAAAGATGTGGCTTCTTGAAAGGAAGAGTATCAGTTTTAAAGACTAGACATAGTAACAGATACTTGCTGCATTGTTACTTGAAGCATCATTAGATGAAGAACAGTTTTGTTACAGAAACAAATGCATAACACCTGGTCATGAATCAACTCCCTCTGATTTCATGAGATGTGAAATGTGGAAATGTCTTGGGCATTGGCAGGTGCCTGTGGAGAAGCCTTCCAGCAAGACTGAGGATCAGCAGCCCAGCTAACTTTTGAAATATGGATGGCTGAAAAATGATGGATTACTTTGTAACCTGTGCTAGTCCAGATCATAAGACAGCTATCATTATGCTTCTGTGTGGGTATATTGTGTCTTACACTATGTAAGTGAGGATTTACTTAAACATAATTTTTATTGAAGGTGAGTTGTGCAATAATTGTTTTCTTTGCATCTCTGATGTTGAGTGGGAGTGTTCTCCATTAGGCTAGGCACCATACAAACCACACATTTCCAACACAAGGTATTGTCTGTGTCTACAGACAACTGTATTTTATGTTAAAAAACCCATAGTCCTACCTCAGTTCTGAGGCTGAGCTTAATTCAGTCTCTGTGATGACAAAGAACTCTTCATTGCTTTGGTAAATTTTCTTTAATCTCTACAATAACGACTGAGAATCTTTTGGCATCCTCTACTTTTCTCTGCAAGATCCCAGGAGATGGTGGTTTTCTCATTTTGCTATTTTAACCATGTGGTTTCCTTACATGTGTGAATGTATTGCTATTTTTTTAACTCACCCTTTTGGACCCTCTAGTACCCTTTGCTGTAATACTTTGATTAATTTTTGGTGTTTCAAGTTTCTTCAGATTTGTTTGGGGCTTTTTTTGGTATGCATTCAAGGTGACCTGGTGTACTTATCCAAATGTAATTTTGTGTTATCATTAGAACTTTTTTTAGTTCACTGTATCACTTCTAGAAAGAAGTTGTGCCTGCTAATTTGCAAGAATTTCCACTTTTTATCTCATCTTTGTTGTAAAGACTACTTTAGAATGTGCTTTTATGTGGGTGAGGATCTCCATTTGCTTTCTAGTTAACCCAAAGAGCAGAGAAAATTCATCAACTAAACAGGTCATGTTTTGCTACTGAAGTTCTTTTGTTGGGAGCACTGAACTTCACATCAGTGCTTCCAGTGCTTGAAGTGGGATTGCCCATCCATTCTGTGATGTCTCTCAGCTACCCAGCTGTGCTATGATATAACATCTCATTTTCTTATACTGTGGGTTCTGTTTAAATATGATGCTTTTCTTTGGATAAAAATTTGGTCTCTCAAATTTCTGACCTCAACTGCTGTCCAGTGTGCTTGTTTATGCTCTTTACAGTTGTGTAGTATGTCATCTGATTTTCAATCTATCCATTATTTCCTTCTTTATGTTAATTGAAACCATTGGGAAGAAGGGTGTTAAGCTGTTGGAGATCCTAAGTGAGAACGTAAATTTCGGATGCTCTGTGGAGCTTAACAAAGGCTTTGACTTGTCAAACTGCTGACCAAAAGTGACCAAAGTCCAAGAGTTTGCTGAACCAAAAAGAATTCTCGTGATTCAGTTAGAGTGCTGCTCCAATCTTTGATTTGGCTTTTTAAATTCAATGTTGAAGTGTTTTCTTGTAACATTTTTGGTCTTCAGAAATATACAAGGTATGTATACAAGTGAATTGTTATTACTGTGTTAGAGTTTGTGTAGGTCTATTGTGGCAAATGAGAAATACTTTGTGTCTCACTGGTGGAAACTTTGTATACTGTTTAAGAAATTCTGCAGTGATTTCTTTTGGAAATTTATTCTATTGCCTTGTTTAGTTGCTTACAAATATTTGAAGAGCTTGTATTTTACCATTAATGCCAGATGCTAATACAAATAGCAAAACCATGGAAATGTACATTTATAATTCATCTGTCTGCCTTGGGTCTTATTCAATGTGGCCTTTCTGGAAGACATTTTAAAATATTGTAAAACAGTCTGCCAAATTAAAAAATTGTAGCAACAGTAATGGTCCAGACATCACTAATTTGCATGGTACATTGCAGCAGTTCCGCTGGTGAAATTACTATGGTTGCTGGTTCTTCTCCATTTTTCTTTTATTTTTCAAATGGCCTGTACAAAACTGGAGGCAGAACTCTTCAAACAAGTCAGTATTCTAGTTCTGATTCAATGAAAGTGATATAAAAAAATCTTAAATTTATTAATGTAGGCATTTCTCAGCTCACTTGGGCAGATTTGCATTGAAATAGTGAATCCTCAATAGACTCTTGATTCATTGGTCTAATACTAGAGTCAAGTGAGCTCTAGAAAGACAACCGTTAAGGTTTATCTGAATGAAACTTTCTCTACACCATTAACTGTTGACAGGTGCAGTAGGTGATTGCCAGAGTTACTCCGGAAGTAAAAACAAAATATTTGAGCACAGTATATGCTTTTATGCCTTTCTGGTTTTCCCATGTTGCCAGATATTTGTATTTACTTTCTTTACTTTTTCTCAAGGATGAATACATGAACCCATTTTGGTTTTAAGATTGATACTTGAGTGTAGCAGGATGGACATAAATAGAAAGGGCCTGATACATTCCTCTCGGTTCTTTTTCTCCTGAAGAATTCTGAAGCACTGGGAGAGTCCTCTCCGAACTTCCAGAGATGCTACCACTTGATGAAGACAGCAAAGTTCTCATGCCCTTTTTGATTCAGTGTGGGCTGAAATCTTGGGCCTGCTTTGTGTTTTCTAATGGATCTTAGGAAGTCACTGTGGGCTAAAAGAAATTGTTCACAGTGCTTCAAATATGGAGGAAGGTTGCACTTCACATCTGCAAGGATGTTTGCTTCAATGTACTTTTTGAGCATTTTGTTAAGTGTATAAATTATAACCTTTTCAATTGCCTTTTGAGGATAGGGCTTGTTTAAAATGCTAGGTGGAAAACTTAAAGTATCTCTGGTATCAGGGAGGCAGGAAGCTGGAGTATGTTTTCTCACATTTTGGCAATTACTCTGAGAATGCACATGAGGATTCCCCATCAGGAGTCATAGCTGCTCAGTGTTCAGTCACCAAGGGTGTATATCATATTTGGGGATTAAGAAGTTAAAAAATTTTAATAGATAAGCCACAGGTCTGTAGTCAGCTTAATCTAGTTTCTGGTTGCTCTGCAGCCTTCCTCTTTTCGATGCCCCTTCCTTGTACCTGCATTATTGGCTGTGCAGGTGCGAGGTGAACTACACAAGGAGCTAATAAGCAGAAAGCTGATTTTTAATTTCCCTCTCTAGACTGGCTCAATGCATGGCTGTATGGAAGGCCATATGGGGAGGAGGGAAGAGATGACAATGAGTGGGTGGGCATTAAGGGAGGGTGAGGTTAAATCCAGAGTTTTATGTTCGATCATGTAATCATGGAGCCATGGTGTGAACACCAAAGGTGACTGGTTTTGTTGGCTGTGCTGATGTAATAGCTGGATATATAAGGGCTTCCGTAAAGATAATAAAACTTACTAGCAGGGCAAGGCCTATGTGTCAAGATTATTTCTAATTACAGAATGCATAAAGAGGTGACATTTGAATAATGCTGTCTTTCCAAACTGAAAACCACTTGACCGATCACCTATATGAAAAGAAAGGGTTCGTTTTCAGCTGCAATCACTTTGAAACATATAAGAATTCCTGTGCTAATTTGTATGTTGAATTCTTCATTGTAGAGAACTTGAGCAATGCAGTTCTGATTTGCCCCAAGCGGTTCTTTCCTGATGAAGATCACAATCTGGTAATCTGTGTGATAGCCTGCAGCAATCTTTTCCCTAACTGCATCTGTGGGATAGCTCTTTGCATGGAAAAGTTTTGAGCTATGCTTTGAAGTGGAACTCGTAATATTATTTGTCTTGAAACATGTTAGAAATTAAGTATGCAGATAACTATGTATTGAGTTTGAACATACTGTGGTACGTGTGGTTTAACTTTGTTAGAACTTCAAAGATTGAACCAATTGTAGTTTTCTTCATGTGGAGTTGCACTCTTACTATGCATGTACTTAACCTGACCACATTGTTTGCTTGAAGACTTTCTTAACAAAACATCTAATAGGTAGGGGGAGTTGTAATTACTCAGTAGTGGTTTTCTGGTTTTGCAGTTTTATTTGCTGAGGTTCTGTTTGTTAACTGACAATTAATTATTAATGCAACATATCTCACTTTCTCATTCCTCACACTGGTGTTTTTTAAATTTAAAAATTCGTAAAGGAAATTCACATAGCAGTTTGTAACTGAGTCCTGTTTCTTTCTATAGCAGCTAGAGGACACAGACATATCTTTTGAAGCCAGAAGTTTCTATAAACAGCAATTTCTCTGCAACTGAGATCTCCTAAAACATATTTTAGTAACATATTTATACCTAAAACCTGTTTTGTACTCCCTAAGAGTTGCAGGTGCATAGCACCCCGTGGACAAACACCTAATCAAATTGGCTTAGTATCAGACTTGAAAACTCTGATAAGTTTTTGACATTTTAAGCATTTTTAAGTGTTCTTTCTTTCCATGAGCAGAAACCTGTGAAAAGCAGGGTTGTAGGTGCTTGTGTGACAACTGGAGTTTTTCTATTTGAATTCCCTGAAAGCATGAGAAAAATTTAAAGAACTAAACAAACATAGTCTGTTTTCTTTATTTTGTGTCTTAATTAGGACTTGTTGCTAAAACAAATTGATGTGACCCACATAACAGGATAGGAAAATGGAACAAGGAAAAAATACCCTAAAATTAATGCCAGCATGTTATGTACGGCGATGAGGATTTTCAACCTTATGTAATAGATTCCTTTTTAAAGGTCACCACCAGCAAAATTTGCATGTTCTAGGCCCAAGTATTTCTTGTATTTCCTCTCTACGTTTACCTTCCCTGAACTCTGCTCTGTCCTAAATACAACATCTATTTAATTAACCTAGTAATTATGTAGGACTGTTGGCTACATTAAATCATTCAAATGCAAGATAGGTAGATTGTATAATTTTAGATCTAATTTCCAAATGTTCTGTGGGAGAGAGCTGGTTAATCAAAATAGCAACGATTAAAAATCTTTAAGTAATTTGTACAATTAAAATCAGTATTTTGTCTTTTCATTGGTGTTACAGAGATATTGTTCCTACAGCAGGAGACAAACTAAAATTTCGTTTTAAGCATGTGATCTTAGCCTTGAACCTCCTGACTTGATGTTTGAGTCAAGTGAGTTTACAAGAGGCACATTCTACATAGTTTTGACTTTAATTCTGTTCTGTGCTTGTATACACATAAAAACAAAACTAGAGAAAATTGACAGAAGTGTTTGGGGAAAATATGGACTTTTCTGTACAAATCTATTTAGATTAGATAAATGTATAACAAAGTATTTTTATTCTGTCTTGACATGACTCCTGTTTTTTTTATTTTTTCTTCCAGTGCTAATTGTCTAAGCTTGTGTTGTACTGTCTTTAAGTTTGTGGAGAAAAGGTTTAAAAGAAAAAGTAATCCAAAGTATTCAGATAGTGATAAATGCACTAAATATTGATTTAAATATATTGCTGTTGGTAGTATTCATTATAAAAGTCAAGTTGTAAGCAATGTAATTTTTAGTCATTTAAGCTGTGTGCACATTGATGTGTATTTCCTCCTTGTAATGAATCCTTCTTGAGAAACTACCAAAAAAATAGTTATCCAAATAATCAAAAACTAAAATAAAAAGCCCAAACATGGCTTTTTGGACAAAATTTGACTAGGTTTTGGAAGTGATCATCTTTCTATCACATTAAGAAAAGAAGCAAGTGCAGATTCAGGATTTTGTCTTATGAATATACATCTCTGTCTTCTTTTCTCCTTCTCTGGCTTGATTTGTTATGCTTGGATAAACAAGACTTGAGAAGAAAGTTGTTACAGAGCAGCAGCTCTTATGGGGCAAACAGCTGGTCTCTCCAAATCTTCACTAAGAAGGGTGGAGCCAGCACTGCGAGTAGAGTCCACTGCTCTGCTCTGCTTAGATCAAATGCTTTTGACAAGTCTCTTGGAACTGTGCAACTTCCTAGGACAGAATTTCTCACTACATTTCTCCTTTTCTTTCATTGTGACTGTTTTTCTCATAGAGACAAATCCTTAGGGTTAAAAAAAAACAAACTCAAACAACCAATAATCCTGAAGCTAGTCATTATTGTAATGGGTTTTCTGAGTAGATTTCTTGGGAATAAACTTTATTATTTTTGTTGTGTGTGTCTTAGAAGAATCATGTAAATGGAAAGCAATAGGATTGTTTATAGTCAGAAAAAAATGTAATTACTGAGGAATAATAAATAAATGTAAAAAAACCCTTCCTGAGGATGATACTTAACTTCAGTCAGCCAGATAATAATCTTATACTTGTTTTGGAATTTTTTTTTGACTGCAGAATAAATTATTCTGACCTAGTAACACATCATCTTAGCTTGCAACTACAAAACTCTTCTAAATGTTGTGGTGTTCCCTGTGAGTCAAAAAGCTGTCTCTAAGCTTAAAAGTACTTTGAAATATAGCAGCTTATATTCAGAAATGGACTTACTGACCATCTCTTTATAAACTGAATATAAAACAGCTAAAAACCTGTATGTCTCTTGTACTTGAAACATATTTTCAGATAATAGGATCTCAGATCTGATTCTTGAGGGACTAAAATGGCTTTGATCTTATACCTTTGAGTATACTTAAAAATGTCTTTTAGACCTACAAAGAAGTTCAAACAGTGTTCCCTACAGGAGAGAACTGAGTCTGATCTTTCACATCCTGACTAAGTGAGGAATTTGAGATGTTTCAATGGAATCACTTCATCTCTTGAAAGGAGGAGCTTCCTTTCACTAGGGAAGTTCAGCAGGATGCTTATGATCCTAGAGGTTTTTTACATATTTTGTGATGCATCCCTTTTTTTGCCAACTATTTTTTCCCCCTTCGGTTGGCCATTCCCAGTATCTCCACAGTCAGCCTGCTTTGTTGTCTAATCCCGAATTTATGACTTTTCTCTTGCTTTCAGTATTTATGCTTTTAGATTTTTTGTATAGTGGGTTATTTTACTGTGAGAAATCCTGTAGGGATTTAAAATTAAGGACATAAAGGTTTATGTTTGGATTGATTATATGTGAAATAAGGAAAAGTTCCTCAAATACTAAGATAAAAATCTTCGTGTCAGCAGGAGAGCCAAAATTGAATTTCAGTTAGTGAATTTTTATTTCAAATTTATGTTTGGTCTTTGTATTTCCTTTGAAGTTAGTGCTTTTTCTGTTCCATCAGTTTCCCCATCAGTAAGTTTCTAATATAGATTATTAAAGTCTTTTGGTAGCCTGCCAAGGTATCTTTATAACCGTATAGTCTAGATAATACAAAGTTCAGATCAGAGATCTAGTTTTTAATGAGAAAATAGTAATTAAAAAAGCTATTTGCCCTCCTAATTTCCTTTAAAGTTGTAGTGCTGAAGAAAATTTCTTAGAAACTAAAAGGAAGAATCAATTTTATATTGTATAGATTTTTTTCTTGAATTTATTGGAAGTGAATCTTTACCTTAAACTTTATATCTTACCTTTAAAGACCCTGCTGCCATGATTGTAAAACAAAAATTTCTGAGTATGGATATTAGTGAAAATTTAAGGTTGGAATATTTCATAAATGATATAATAAATATTTTAGTAAAAATGTCTGTTCCATCTGTAAAGTAAACACAGAGAAGATAGTTACCCTGTCTCCTTTTAAAAAATAAAATATAGTTCTTAAAAGCACAGATTTGTCCATTAAAAGTGTATTATTCTACCAGCAATGTAGAGTAACGCAGAGTAAAAATAAAATATGAAAATAATTTTGATTTTGGATTAGCACTTGAAGTCATTATGGTGTAAGGACTTCTTGGAATGCAACAGTTCAATATGTGTTTATTGAATCAACTATAAAATACATATTACAAAAAATCTGTGTGTGTGTATACACTCACATGACTTTTCTCTCAGTAGTGAGAGAGTAAAAAAACCCCTTGTAGTTCAATATAAAGGGGAAAACAGGGGAAAATCAACAGAGAGGCTCTGATTTTTGTGGGACACTTCAGTCAAAATACTTGTTACAGACCCAATCCAATAAACCCCTCTATATAAAATCAGTTTAAAATCTGCAGATCTGCAGTTTAGATCTGCAGATCTATTAGCGGAAGGGGCTTGCAGCAGTTGCTTTGTCATTAATCATATTGGACAAGAAAATTTGCCAAAAATTTCAAGCAGTAGTAGGCAGTGTTTATAACATAGAGGTTGTTTTCTGTCTTTGCACTGCTACTAGTTCTGCTCTGTTGGTGATAAGATGGTTCTTTTGTACCTTATTTTAGCTTTTTAATTCTCTCCCATATCTGCTTTTTATCACACTGCATTGTCTTCTCAAAAGCATGTGTTCCAAAGTCTCCCTTTAATCTAGCTGATTGAGAGTTTTTACTTCTAAAATGTGATTATTAGTTGTTTCTTTGAGGTTAGTGTTTATTGCTTTCTCTTTTAGTGTGTATTTCTAGTTTCTAGTGACTCCTTGCTTTTGTGCACCCTTATCTTCAAGTGATAAATCGTAATTTCTTCCATATAACTTCCTAATCACCTTTGTGGAAAAGCTTAGCTTGCTGATTTGAAGCCAGACATTTTGTGTTCATAATTGACTAATTTTCCTCTCTAAATTTCTTTGCTTGCACTTTGGTAGTGATGTAGGGGTGTAACTAATGCTGCTAGTCTGAATTGTGAATTATACTTCTGTAAAATTAATT